GTAGCGTTAGATTCGTATCAAATGACGCAGTGAGTGTCCCGCTTTACTGTAATAGGATTCAGTTTAATTTACTTCTAATAAGAAACGAACATCTAAATTGATTACCAGCCTATTAGTTCTGACTGTTTCTTCGACTGATTTACTGACTTACTGATTACCTAGCTGGCTAATTGACCAGCTGGATAGCCGACTGACCAGAGCTCACTCTATGGAATGACTGACATTGATGTTTCAAATTTGCACAGGCAATCACGGAAGCGCCGGCGACGTTCGTCTTGTAGGAGGAGGCTCAGAACGCGAAGGCCGTGTTGAAATTAACCTTGGTGGACGATGGGGTACAGTATGCGATGATTACTGGGATATCAATGATGCCCACGTCGTATGCAATCAGCTGGGCCAAGGTAGAGCAAGAGAGGCCGTCTCGCGAGCCAGGTTTGGACAAGGGTCAGACGATATTCTCCTGGACAATGTTGGCTGCGGAGGATCAGAGTCAAGTCTTATTGAATGCTCAAACATAGGAATAGGACAACACAACTGTGCCCACAGCGAAGATGCAGGTGTCATCTGCATTGGTACGTTAAATGTCAGAATACTACTTATAGTAATATTCCAATGATTAAGTTATACTGTATAAGATTGTAATTATGCAATATCAATCAATCAATTAATCAATAAAGTAATCATTTCTTTTATTTATAAATATTTAATACAAAAGGAAGCCAAGAAAATAGCCAAAGCTAGTCGTGTTTGGAACCCCTACATTCAGACCTATAACTTTTATTGACATCATCACAATCATGATACAGTCAAACAAATTACAAAAAACAGAAAATTATGAGTGTATGTCGGACGTAAAAACATACAACAAAACTTCATCAAATCAACATACAGTAGTTATGCAGTATATAATCTTAAAAGTTATAATTTTCTTAGTACAAAGAATTATTATTTAAGATTAGGCAATGATGATAATGATGATGATGATGATGATAATGATAATATATTTCAATAATAATACAGTATGAATATATCAGTATTTTCTTTATCTTGTATTTTGCAACAGGTCCACAACCTAACTCTCAATTACGACTTGTCGGTGGAGGTAACAGCAACGAAGGGCGAGTTGAAATAAACGTGGATGGAGAGTGGGGCACCGTATGTGATGACTATTGGGACATGAGTGACGCTCGAGTTGTTTGCAGACAATTAGGCAAACCAGAAGCCAGTGATGCACCACAGCGGGCTCGTTTTGGACGAGGGTCTGGACCGATTGTGTTTGATAATGTGCAGTGTGCAGGAACTGAGAGTGATCTTGCACATTGCGCCAACAATGGACGTCGAATACACAATTGCGGTCATCATGAGGATGCCTCTGTTGTTTGTGGAAGTAAGATTAGTGATATAAATAATAATAATAATAATAATAATAATTATACTATTATACTTTGACGCGGGTGCATTAGGATTAATGCCGGCCACTCACTGCGCCTGTCGGCCGACACGATTCTATGTAGAGCGCAACGCCACAACGCGCGCGCAACGGATTGATTTTAATGACGACCCGTTGTTCAGACTGCCACTGAAAATCAGTAGACAACGTTGCATCGTCTATCGATCACGGGGAGTAGCGTTAGATTCGTATCAAATGACGCAGTGAGTGTCCCGCTTTACTGTAATAGGATTCAGTTTAATTTACTTCTAATAAGAAACGAACATCTAAATTGATTACCAGCCTATTAGTTCTGACTGTTTCTTCGACTGATTTACTGACTTACTGATTACCTAGCTGGCTAATTGACCGGCTGGATAGCTGACTGACCAGAGCTCACTATGGAATGACTGACATTGATGTTTCAAATTTGCACAGGAAGCGCCGGCAACGTTCGGCTTGTAGGAGGAGGCTCAGAACGCGAAGGCCGTGTTGAAATTAACCATGGTGGACGATGGGGTACAGTATGCGATGATTACTGGGATATCAATGATGCCCATGTCGTATGCAATCAGCTGGGCCAAGGTAGAGCAAGAGAGGCCGTCTCGCGAGCCAGGTTTGGACAAGGGTCAGGCGATATTCTCCTGGACAATGTTGGCTGCGGAGGATCAGAGTCAAGTCTTATTGAATGCTCAAACATAGGAATAGGACGACACAACTGTGCCCACAGCGAAGATGCAGGTGTCATCTGCATTGGTACGTTAAATGTCAGAATACTACTTATAGTAATATTCCAATGATTAAGTTATACTGTACAAGATTGTAATTATGCAATATCAATCAATCAATTAATCAGCGGGCTCATTTTGGACGAGGGTCTGGACCGATTGTGTTTGATGATGTACACTGTGCAGGAACTGAGAGTGATCTTGCACATTGTGCCAACAATGGACGTCGAATACACAATTGCGGTCATCATGAGGATGCCTCTGTTGTTTGTGGAAGTAAGATTAGTGATGTAAATAATAATAATAATAATAATAATAATAAAATCATCATTTTCACCTTTTTAATACAATATTTTAATCCTTTTGTTTTCATTTTAGGGAGATGAAACTGGGGATGGTTATGCGGCTAAATATCTCTTCGCTGCCTGCTACCTTATACTGAAATTGGACCGTACAATGACGAACGTATTAAAATAATTAAACTAAAATTCAGTATAAATCTGGGATTCTTTTGGGTGATTATTCTTTATCTGTCTAATAAAATGATAAAAGGTTTCCTCTGCAAATCATTTTCTTGTGACTTTTTCAAATTTGTGTGCGGAAAAATGTTTAAAAAGTGCTCTCCTTGTCACTAATCCTTAATTCTACATGCGTGAGCATGTGCTACCATAAAATCATAGGTAATCATATAAGTATTTAAGCCTCTTCAAATAATAAGGCAATATCACAAGAAACGACAGATCATGTAAGAACCGCTGGATCCAAAAAAGCAGAAGTATAAGTAGAAGAAGATCGAATCGTAGGTTTTGGTATGGTACTTGGTGACAAAGAAATGCTTGAGAGGTTGAACGGAGATGGCGAGATGTAGTATATGTCAGGAAACAATGAACGCAAATATGGTGGTTTAGTCATGATGATTACGACAGACATAGGAATCCCTCAAGGAAACTCAGTCAAGTAATAAAATGAAATTACACCCGTGAACATTCATACACAAGCACAAACACACTAATTACTAAAACATCTGAAAGAGCAGTTAAACAATCATTCAACAAACATGCAATACACAGATGATATATGATGCATCAGCAACGCAAGTTAGGAAAACAAAAAAGGTCGTAATTGATGAATTTAATAAGAAATCTCATGACAAATGAGAGCAAAACAGAAAAATGCAACATATCGTATTTGAATAAACGCCCCCTAAAGCTTCATAAAAGCCCCCTAAATGACTGTAAACATAATAATATTAGTACACTGTTTTCAAAGAGACACAGTATTTAATTTTTTTTTCACAATATTCACATTCATGTTGTGTCCCTTCTGTGTGCATCTGTATATGTTTTTCAAATTCACTGTTGAGCTCAAATTTCTTTCCACAATGTTTACATTGAAATTGCACATCTTCTGTTTTGATTCCCAAATGTGTTTTTAAAGTAACTAAATCAAACTTTTCTCTACAATGTTCACATTTATATTCTCTTGTCTTTTCTGCAAAGTTCCTTAGAACCACCCTGTCCATTTACTTTTAATTCATTAAATTCAGTCACATTTTTCTCCTCGGTGTTTTGGTCAGCAGACATTTTACAAATGTTCATTTTATTTATTTCTTTCTACTTTTGAGTTTCCATACAGTAATAAACAATGGTAAAATTTATCAATTTCTTATCAAATGGACTTCTTGGCAAAGCTGTGAAAATCCTTCCAGCACCCTAAAAATAAAAAAATAAAATATTGACCTATCATTTAGTCTTGATAATATCATATTGCTGGCAGGCCTCTGTACTATGTGCAGGGTCAATTATTAAACTACCTCCTGGTAATACTGTACTATACAAACTGTACAGTATCCGACCATTTTGATCGCGGTGTTTTGGTTATGCTCCCCCTTATTTTATTTCCAAAATGGAGAGGGCCTCCCAAATCCGCTACTGGTGGTATTGCTTTTTGGTGGAATTTTCTCATCAATATCAAAGCTTATAATTATTGTCTCATAACTACTCCCTGTTTAAATAACCTCCCTTCCTTATGAGAGGCAGATCCAGAATTTTTCAATGGGGGCTTGGGCACAACATTTTTTTTGGTAAGTAGCGATTATTAAATGCATAGCATTGAAATTTTAAAGGTTATAACCAAAACCGGGGCTTGTGCCCCTGTGCCTTCTCCTTGTGTCCCTGTGCCTTCTCCTTGTGTGTGTTAATTTGAATATTAGCGGAGCTGCTTGAATTTGAATAAGAGAAGCTGCGGATCAGAAGTGGATTCACATTAATTATATTTTTTGTCAATGAATCGGCTGGGAATGACTTGTCACTTTTAGCACGTTTGCACCCGAGTTTGCAAGAAACTCTGCAATCGGCAGATGGCCAACAAGCTTACCACCAACACCACCACTAATTCCATCTGCTGTTTTGTAAATACCCACAGCACTCTTGTCTTAAGCCATGCTCTTTGGGTGATTACCTTTTCTGTACCAGAACCATTCGTTCAGTTAGCAGCCTTAATTTTCCCGGGTCTCATAAGTGCTCGCCTACTGTACAGTACTGTATTTCCACATGCACTCTTTCAATTTCCACTAATTCTGTAAGCACCTGGTTTAAGCGCCCCTAAAAAAGGCGCTTATTTGCGCGACTACGGTAGTTTTTTGATAGTTATAGCTACTGTAATTACATATGATGAAAGGTGACTGACTGCTGTAAACCAATTGTCTTTATTAATAAACTGACCACATTCATATGTACAGTAGAATACTGTCTCATCTTTTTCCCATTACAAATTACTATGGTGTATCCTCAGAAATGTTTTGTCTTGTAAAACACAGTATGAAATTAATGAAATTATTAATAAAAATAATTTCTGAAGATTCGTTTAGGGGTGGGGGAGAGAGTAATATTTAATGGGGGTGGGGGAGAGAGTAATATTTAAATGTTTAAATCATTATCAAATGTTGGCCTGAATTTGATAGGTCTGAATTGAAAAAGTCTTCAAAAATTAATAGCTTATATGCTTATGAGATACAAAAAACACCATCAAATTACATTTTGACAGATTATTAATTAGATGTCTGTATCTATGCGTGATCATATTTCAAAATCTGAAAGTCAAGATGCCCTGTATGAGTGTCTAGCGGCTTATTACTTTTTTAAAGTATCTCATTTTGTGTGATCTCATACCCTACAGTACCCCTCCCCTGGCCCGATGGCTCTCACATGGCGCTGCATGCTAAAGTACAACTCTGGCCCTGCCTGTTGGAGGGGGGGGGGGGGTGGTGAACCGTAGCACAGTCACTGGTGCATTCATGGTCGCTCTCCTGTACAGGTACCGGTATGTATCCTTACATGTGTTTTCAAATCAAATTAAATTTCTTTCCACAATGTTCACTGTTGCATATATTAGAAAATTCAATATTAAATGATTGAGGGACAAATGAACATTGATCCTGCAGATTCAAGATTCTTTTATTGTCACTGGTACATAAAATACAAGTAAAATTCGTCTACCCGATTCAAAGAAAAAATTAGTATAAAAGTTAATAAAAATTAATCAAGGACATAAATAAAACAGAAAATACAAAATGATACAATTATTTACAATTATTTACAAGAGTTAGTTACTGAAGTTTATCTATTATTATATGCAGAGTCAATCATTACGTCCTGGTACTACTATACTATTCAAAATGTACGGCTAAGCAAAGCTAGTCACTTGTTGCAAAAATCAATTTTAAGGTTAATACAAGGTTAAACAGTAAAAGTGAGAGCTATAAAATGGTAAAGAATCATTTAAATCTGACATTTCATTATGAAGTTACAGGAGTTTATTAAAACATACTATATTTGAGAAATCAGCTTTTAAAGCCTTAGTCCAGCAGTTTAGGCACAAGTTCTGACCTAATCCTGCACTTTTTGATAAAAGCATGAAACTAGGCACACATCTACTATGACCCATACTAAATATTTTCAGGTAGGGACTGGTATCAACAGGGCCCTCTACAGGCCAGAAATGGTAAATTTAGATTAAAGGTTAGTTTAGTGTTATAAAATAGATTTTAAAAATGTTGATGTCCCAGGATGTTTTTTGATCATTATCTCTAAAATAGGGTTTGCGACTAGTGAATGGTTTGGCTTGTCTTTGCCACAAATGTTGTTTCAACAACATTCATATTCAAATGGGCTTTCACCTTTGTGTATCCATAAATGTTGGCTTAAATTGCTACTACATTCAAAATAGTTTCCTGTGTTTACATTCATATGTTTACTCTCCATGTATCCTTACATGTGTTTTCACAGTGGTATCCTGTTTAAATTTCTTTTCAAAACAGATACAGAGTATCTTTTGTATGTATCCTCAAATGTTGTTTCAACAATGTTCACATTCAAATTTTCTTTCTCTTTTTGTGTATCCTTGAGTGTTGGTTCCATTTAAATTGCTATTACTTTCTCCTCTTCACTCTCCTGTATTCTGTATCCTTAAATGCGTTTTCACGGAGGAAGTTTCTTTCCACAAATAGTTCATGTTTACAGTATATTGAGTCTCTTCTGTATGTATCCTCCAATGCTGCTTCAACAATACTTTGTGTGTCTTAATGTTCTTTTGATTGGCTGGTAAATTTCTTTCCACAATGTTAACATTCATATGGACTCTCTACTGTACTGTATGTATTCTTACATGTTTTTTTAAATCGGTGGGACTACACTGTTTAAATTTATCCCCACAATGTTCACATTCATATGGTGTCTCTCGTGTAGTATTGTAGTATGTACTCTTACATGCATTCTCAAACAGAAACACTGCTTAAGATTCTTTCCACAATGTTCACATTTAAATGGTCTTTCTCTTTTGTGTATTCTTAAATGTTTTAATTGGCTACTAATAAATTTCTTCCCAATGTTCACATCCATATGGCTTTGAAATGGCACATCTGCTTTCATTCTCAAATGTGTTTATAAAAATCAAATTTTTCTCCAAAATGTTCACATTTGTATTCTCTCTTTTTTTTTTTAACTAAGTTTCTTAGAACCACCCTGATCATTTACTTTTAATTCATTGCATTCTGTTACAGTTATTTTCATGTTGTGGTCAGCACACATTTTAAATGATAGATCCAGAGGTTAAAAAAAAAAAAATCAATTAACAATAACATATCAACACTACAGTACAAATTATCATTTTATTTATTTTTGACTTTTGGAAATTCTCCTGTATGTATCTTCAAATGTTGTTTTAAATTATAACTTCTACGTTTCTTTCTACAATGTTCACATTCATATGGTCTCTCTCCTGTATGTATCCTTACATGTTTTCACATGTTTTTTCAAAGCAGTGGACGCTGTTTAAATTTCTTTCCACAATGTTCACATTCAAATGGTCTTTCTCCTGTGTGTATCCTCGAATGTTGTTTCAAGCCAGCTTTTCTATAAAATTTCTTTCCACAATGTTCACATTCATATGGCATCTCTCCTGTATGTGTCTTTAAATGCATTTTCAAACTGCTACGCTGTTTAAATTTCTTTCTGCAATGTTCACATTCAAATAGACTTTTCCTTGTATGTATCCTTATTTAAATGTTCTTTTAATTGGCTACTTCTTTTAAATGTATTTTCATAGTGTTCACATTCATATGATCTTTCTCCTGTATGTTCCATTACATGTCTTTTCAAAGTGGACAATTGTTTAAATTTTTTTCCACAATGTTCACATTTATACTGTATTTTCATGTTGTGGTCAGCACACATTTTAAATGATAGATCCAGAGGTTAAAAAAAAATAAATCAATTAACAATAACATATCAACACTACAGTACAAATTATCATTTTATTTATTTTTGATGTTCTCTTGTATGTATCTTCAAATGTCGTTTAAAATTATAACTTCTACTACATTTCTTTCCACAATGTTCACACTCATATGGAGTCTCTCCTGTATGTATCTTCAAATGTTCTTTTAAATGATTACTACGATTGAATTTCTTTCCGCAATGTTCACATTCATATGGTCTTTCTCCTGTATGTATCTTCAAATGTTGTTTTAAATTATAACTTCTACTACATTTCTTTCCACAATGTTCACACTCATATGGAGTCTCTCCCGTATGTATCCTCAAATGTTGTTTTAAATTATAACTTCTACTACATTTCTTTCCACAATGTTCACACTCGTATAGAGTCTCTCCTGTATGTATCCTAAAATGCTGTTTAAAATGATTACTATTATTGAATTTCTTTCCACAATGTTCACATTCATATGGTCTCTCTCCTGTATGTATCCTTACATGTTTTTTCAAAGTTGCACACTGTTTAAATCTCTTTCCACAATGTTCACATTCATATGGTCTCTCTCCTGTATGTTTTTTTCAAAGTTGCACACTGTTTAAATCTCTTTCCACAATGTTCACATTCATATGGTCTCTCTCCTGTATGTATCCTTACATGTTTTTTCAAAGCAGTGGACTGTTTAAATTTCTTTCCACAATGTTCACACTCATATGGAGTCTCTCCTGTATGTATCCTCAAATGTTCTTTTAAATGATAAATACGATTGAATTTCTTTCCGCAATGTTCACATTCATATGGTCTTTCTCCTGTATGTATCTTCAAATGTTGTTTTAAATTATAACTTCTACTACATTTCTTTCCACAACGTTCACACTCATATGGAGTCTCTCCCATATGTATCTTCAAATGTTGATTTAAATTATAACTTTGATTGAATTTCCTTCCACAATGTTCACATTCATATGGTCTCTCTTCTGTATGTATCTTTACATGTTTTTTCAAAGCAGTGGACCATTTAAATTTCTTTCCACAATGTTCACATTCAAATGGTCTTTCTCCTGTGTGTATCCTCAAATGTTTTTTCAAGCTAACTTTTCTATAACATTTCTTTCCACAGTGTTCAAATTCATATGGCCTCTCTCCTGTATGTGTTTTTAAATGCTTTTTCAAACTGCTACGATTAAATTTCTTTTCACAATGTTCACATTCATATGGTCTCTCTCCTGTATGTGTCTTTAAATGCGTTTTCAAACTGCTATGGTATTTAAATTTCTTTCCACAATATTCACATTCATGTTGTGTCCCTTCTGTGTGCATCTGTATATGTTTTTCAAATTCACGGTTGAGCTCAAATTGTTTTTCACAATGTTTACATTGAAATGGCACATCTTCTGTTTTGATTCCCAAATGTGTTTTTAAAGTAACTAAATCAAACTTTTCCCCACAATGTTCACATTTATATTCTCCCTTGTTTTTTCTGCAAAGTTTCGTAGAACTGCCCTGTTCATTTACTTTTAATTCATTACATTCAGTCACTTTTTCCTCCTCGGTGTTGTGGTCAGTAGACATTTTATATAATGGTTCCAGTGTTTTTCAGGTATCAACACTACAAATTTTGATTTTATTTATTTCTACTTTTCAGATTCCGTACAGTAATAAACAATGGTAAAATTTATCAGTTTCTCATCAAATTGACTTCTTGGCAAAGCTGTGAAAATCCTTATACGACCCTAAAAAAAATATTGAAATATCATTAACTTAGAGTTGATAAATATCATATTAATAATACGTTAGATTTATATCGCTTAACGCCAACAAGGCCTCTAAGACCTTCACATTACTACCCCCGGTCATTGGATTAAACGCCTATGGAACACAAACTCAAGCTCCCTGGGGGAGTTTTCCATAAAGTTGCAGCAGCCACATCAGCACATTTTGGCATTTAACCCTACCAGGTACCCATTTATTCTACTGGGTGGAAAGAAGCAAGCAGATGAAGTGCCCTGCCCAAGGACAAAAGTGAAATGCACAGTGAGGGGATTGAAACCCCAACATCGAGGTTGGAAACCTACTGCACCAAACCGCTTCTGTACTATATGCAGGGTCAATCATTACGTCCTGTTACTACTATACTATACAAACTGCACGGCAGAGACAAAGACAAGCCAATCACTCGTCGCAAAAATAAATGTTAAGGTTAATACTGTACAAGGTTAAGCAGTAAAATGAGAGCTATAAAATAGTAGAAGAATCATTAAATCTAACATTTTGTTATGAAGTTACAGGAGTTTAAACATACAGCTGTTAAAAAAACAATATTTGAGAAATCAGCATTTAAAGTTTTAGTCCAGCAGTTTAGGCACAAATTTTGGCCCAATCGTGCACTTTTTGATAAGAATGAAACTTCGCACACATGTACTTTGACCCATACTAAATATTTTCAGGTATGGACACGCATCAACAGCACCCTCTATAGGCCAGAAATGGTAAATTTAGATATATAAAGGTTAGTTTAGTGTAATAAAAGATTTTTAAAATGCTGATTTCCAAGGATGTTTTGGTCATTATCTCAAAAAAGGGTTTGCAACGAGTGAATGGTTTGGCTTGCCCTTGCCACAAATGTTGTTTCAACAACATTCATATTCAAATGGTCTTTCTCTTTTGTTTATCCATAAATGTTGGTTTAAATTGCTACTACAATTAAATTAGTTTCCAGTGTTTACATTCATATGTTTGCCCTCTTTTAATTATCCTTACATGTGTTTTCACAGCGGTATACTGTTTAAATTTCTTTTCAAAACAGTTCACATTTATACATAGTATCTTTTGTATGTATCCTCCAATGTTGCTTCAAAAATGTTCACATTCAAATTGTCTTTCTCTTTTGTGTATCCTTGAATGTTGGTTCCATTTAAATTGCTATTACTTTCAAATTTCTTTGTGTTTACTTTTACTGTATATATGGTCGCTCTCCTGTACTCAGTGTCTTTACATGCGCTTTCACAGAAGTACATTGTTTAAGTTTCTTTCCACAAATAGTTTAAGTTTACAGTATATTGAGTCTCTTCTGTATGTATCCTCAAATGTTGCTTCAACAATACTTTGTGTATCTTAATGTTCTTTTGATTGGCTGGTAAATATTTACTTTTGGAAATTCTCCTGTATGTATCTTCAAATGTTGTTTTAAATTATAACTTCTACGTTTCTTTCTACAATGTTCACAATCATATGGAGTCTCTCCTGTATGTATCCTCAAAAGCTGTTTTAAATGATTACTACGATTGAATTTCTTCCCACAATGTTCACATTCATATGGTCTCTCTCCTGTATGTATCCTTACATGTTTTCTAAAAGCAGTGGAATGGTTGAATTTCTTTCCACAATGTTCACATTCATATGGAGTCTCTCCTGTATGTATCCTTACATGTGCTTTCAAAGCAGGGGACTGTTTACATTTCTTTCCACAATTTTTACATTCATACTGTATGGTCTCTCTCCTGTATGTATCCTTACATATTTTTACATGTTTTTTCAAAGCAGTGGACGCTGTTTAAATTTCTTTCCACAATGTTCACATTCAAATGGTCTTTCTCCTGTGTGTATCCTCGAATGTTGTTTCAAGCCAGCTTTTCTATAAAATTTCTTTCCACAATGTTCACATTCATATGGCATCTCTCCTGTATGTGTCTTTAAATGCATTTTCAAACTGCTACGCTGTTTAAATTTCTTTCTGCAATGTTCACATTCAAACAGACTTTCCCTTGTATGTATCCTTATTTAAATGTTCTTTTAATTGGCTACTTCTTTTAAATGTATTTTCACAGTGTTCACATTTATATGATCTTTCTCCTGTATGTTCCATTACATGTCTTTTCAAAGTGGACAATTGTTTAAATTTTTTTCCACAATGTTCACATTTATACTGTATGGCGTCTCTTTGGTATGTATTCTTACATGTGATTTCAAAGATGAACACTGCGTAAATTTTTTTCCACAATGTTCACATTCATATGGCATCTCCTTGATGTATCCTTACATGTTTTTTCAAAGTTGCACACTGTTTATATTTCTTTCCACAATATTCACATTTATAAGGTCTTTCTCCTGTATGTACCCTCAAATGTTGTGTTAAATGACTACTTCTATAAAATTTCTTTCCACAATGTTCACATTCAAATGGTCTTTCTCCTGTGTGTATCCTCAAATGTTGTTTCAAGCCAGCTTTTCTATGAAATTTCTTTCCACAATGTTCACATTCATATGGCCTCTCTCCTGTATGTGTCTTTAAATGCGTTTTCAAACTGCTACGCTGTTTAAATTTCTTTCTGCAATGTTCACATTCAAACAGGCTTTCTCCTGTATGTATCCTTAAATGTTCTTTTAATTGTCTATTACTTTTAAATGTATTTTCACAGTGTTCACATTTATATGGTCTTTCTCCTGTATGTTCAATTACATGTCTTTTCAAAGTGGACAATTGTTTAAATTTTTTTCCACAATGTTCACATTCATATGGCGTCTCTTTGGTATGTATTCTTACATGTTTTTTCAAAGTTGCACACTGTTTAAATCTCTTTCCACAATATTCACATTTATAAGGTCTTTTTCTTGCATGTACCCACAAATGTTGTGTTAAATTACTACTTTTATAAAATTTCTTTCCACAATGTTCACATTCATATGGCCTCTTTCCTGTATGTGTCCTTACATGCGTTTTCAAAGTGCTACGCCGTTTAAATTTCTTTCTGCAACGTTCACATTCAAATGGGCTTTCTCCTGTATGTATCCTCAAATGTTGTTTTAAATCACTGCTTCTATTAAATTTCTTTTCACAATGTTCACATTCATATGGTCCCTCTCCAGCATGCAACATTAAATGGGTTTTAAAAGAACCATGGTATTTCAATTTCTTTCCACAATATTCACATTCATGTTGTGTCCCTTCTGTGTGCATCTGTATATGTTTTTCAAATTCACTGTTGAGCTCAAATTGTTTTTCACAATGTTTACATTGAAATGGCACATCTTCTGTTTTGATTCCCAAATGTGTTTTTAAAGTAACTAAATCAAATTTTTCTCCACAATGTTCACATTTATATATTCTCTCCTCCTTATTTTTTTCACCAAGTTTAATAGAACCACCCTGTTTATTTACTTTTAATTCACTTAATTCTGTAACATTTTTCTTTGTGTTGTGGTCAGCAGACATTTTTAATGATAGTTCCAGAGTTTAAAAAAAATAAATAAACATATCAACACTACAAATTATCGTTTTATTTATTTTTTACTTTTGGAAGTTCAATACATTAACAATAGTTCAATTAATTTTATGTGAATTTCTCTTCAAATGAACTTCTTGGCAAAGCTGTGAAAACCTTGTAGCATCCTAAAAAAAAAAAAATAAATATACTGTATTGAATTATCATTTGATAAATATAATGATATTGAAGATTACACACAGTGTCAATACCAACCTCGTAGTACACACTGTACAAGCCCTTTGATTTTCATCTATAGGCCCTATCCAGGATGAGTGCATACTCATCACCTCCTCCCCACGCACACACACACACACAAAATCCAAAAAAGGTCTATACAGTAGAGAATGTACTGTGATGAATGTATTTTTTTTTATATGCCCTGTTTACCAAACCTACTGCACATAGGGATGTACAGTAGTCTACTGTAGGCCTCGAGTCAACGCAACTCAATGAACCCAGTGGCGTATCTGGGGATTGGGGGGGGGGCGCCTTCCAATTCCAGATGTACCCCCAAAAAAATTACATGATGGTAGGCCTAGAGTACAGGTAGTAGGCGATTGTTTAATTACCAAAACACACAGCAATTGCTGATTGAATTTCTAGGCCTAGTGTAGGCTAGGTAGGACCAGACCCCTTTTGAAAGCACTGTGCCTACATCCGAAACCACGGCTACTCCAACATGTAAAATTCCAGACCCTTTCGAGTCCCGGCACTTCAGGGACAAAACTATGCGTACGTCCCCTTCTCAGCCCCTACTAATGCCCCGCTATGGTCCAGGTTCCCGGGGAGGGGGGGGGGGTGGATTACAGTTGACAAGTACATTTGTGGATTGTATTTTTCAGGCATTATATGTTGTATATATTCATTTATAAGACATTTATTAGTTTCCATTAGCCTATGTACCGTACATATACAGATGATCTTGCAAATCATCCAAAATGCCATTGAAAAATTGTTCGATTTTAGATAAAATTTGACTTACAGATTGTTAATTAAAGCAATGGAAAACACCAATTTGGAATGTAAAGTAAGTTCAACATAGAAACTATTCGACTTTGGCAAGTTTAACTGTA